TGGTCTTGAGCTGATGAAGAATCGGGGGACATTTTGTGATGGTGATGATGCCTTTGAACTTCAGTGGCTCGCACTCTGTTTGGGGGCTGTCACTGTTCTCCGATGAAAGGGACCCTGCAGGGCTCTGAATTAGTCCCCCTCTATGAGACGACTTTACAATAACGTTCCCTTGAACTTAGGTGACATATGTACTGTTTGGTGTGCAGCTGAAATACCCTGTGATTGGTTCTGATCCAGCTTGAGCTGCGATGGGCTCTGGGATATGTACTGGTCTATCTCAGTCTGGGATATATTTCTCTTTGGACTATCAGTGGACGTAAGAATGCAAATATTGTTGATGTGTCTAATAAAGGTCATGTGACCTTTCAGTAAAGAGATCCCTGTGACAGATGTTGTCTGACAAACCAATCTGTGGAGCGGAAACATTTCAGCCATTTTTTCCTTAAAGCTGAACTCTCAGGAAAACCGCAAAATGCGCAGCGGAAATACATATGTGGGAACTCTCTTACCTGCTAAGGGGTATGTATTTTTATCCATCCAGTCCTGAAATTTACACCAACCTGCCAGATGGTACAGCCAGCCTGATGACCTGACTTATTTTTTTTTAATTAAGCAACATCGTTTATGTCACCTCCCAGCCAATTATTGGACAGTGAAGGAGCAGCAGCAGGCTGATGAGGTCATCTTACTGCTGTCTCCTCCTTTCTGCACATGTAAATATAGGACACCTTAGTGGCCCCGAATGCTGCCACTCCTCCCATCTGAGAGCCGCTGATCTAGTCTATTGTAGGTAGTTATTCCAGTTGTGTTTAATATACGTTTAATTCAGTTTAATAATTACCTGTTTTATTGTTTCTAATGCTATCTGCCCGGAGTTCGGCTTTCATCTATTAGTAGGCATGTTTGTTCTCTTACACATCTCATCCCGCACACGTGTGTATTTCCTGCACCTGGTAACATGGTTGCGGTATGATCCGGCATGTTTGTAAATATTCTATAATGTTTGTGTAATGACTGTACAGAACAGAGGCACTGGCTCCAAGTATGGCGAGCTCGGCGTCGTATGAGGGAAGTGACATTCCGTGATGTGAAATGTGACCTGAACAAAATGATGAGATGTCCGCCGGTATATTATTTACATCAGGAGGCTTAACGTGACCCTAAACCCAGGAGTTCAATCTTAAAGATACATTGTTGGTAGTTGAGGTACTTGTATGTATCATATTTGTGTATCACTCAGCTGTAGATCCTCAAATCATCTCTGAATTGGTGCTGACACTGTCCTTCCTTCTGGAGGGTGGCTACTTCTGTTCCCCATGGTCCCTGTGTGTGTTGTAAAGTAGTCACCGCTCCAAGCTCGCTCCTGTGATGGACTACAATCTCAATAAAAAGTAGTAAACTAAAAGTGAGATTGTAGTCCATCACGGGAGTGAGCTTGGAGCGGTGACTACTTTACAACACACACAGGGACCATGGGTAATAAAAGTAGCCCCCCTCCAGAAGGAAGGACAGTGTCAGCACTTGAGATGCACCAATACCATTTTTTCAAGACCGAGTATGAGTACCGATACTTTTCCTCAAGTACTCGCCGATACCAATTGCCAATACCTTTTTTGTTAGTGTAATGTTTTTCTACAACAATACAGACTAATGATTTTAGGGCAGCGGTAGGGTGCCAGGGCCCAGTCGCAGAAGTTGCAGGAACTGGGTAGTTCTGCCACTGACTCCAAGCTGTAGAGGGATTACAGATCCCAGCAACAGTACATTACACAGCAATGCAGAATAACACCAGCTATAGAGGACTACGAATCTCAGCAATATATAATACAGCAATGCAGAATACTATATATTGCTGGGAATTGTAGTCCTCTGTAGCTGATAGTATTCTGTATTGCTGTATTATCAGCTATAGAGGACTACTAATCGCAGCAATATATAATACAGCAATGCAGAATACTATCAGCTGTAGAGGACTACAATTCCCAGCAATATATAGTATTCTGCATTGCTGTATTATCAGCTATAGAGGACTACAAATCTCAGCAATATATAGTATTCTGTATTATCAGCTATAGAGGACTACAAATCTCAGTAATATATAATACAGCAATGCAGAATAATATCAGCTATAGAGGACTACAAATCTCAGCAATATATAGTATTCTGTATTATCAGCTATAGAGGACTACAAATCTCAGCAATATATAATACACCAATACAGAATAATATCAGCTATAGAGGACTACAAATACCAGCAATGCAGAATAATATGAAGCTACATACTCACCAGGGCTGTGCGGCATCTTATGAGGCTGTTACGGGATCTGACCAGGGCTGTTATGGGGTCTGTCCATGGATGTGCGCACACCAGGGCAGTGCAGGGCCTCAGGAGGATGTTCAGGGTCTCGCCGGGGACTGCGTGCATGTTTACCAGGGCTGCGTTCGGGTCTCGTCATGGCTGTGTGGGCAGTAGGAAGTAGGTGGTGATGTGTGGCCGGTCCAGTGCTGTAAAAGACAGCTGTTGCGAGGTCTCCAGCAAGCGCGGGACCTTACGGCAGTGGCTCCTGTTTAAAGATTTAAAAAGCCAGTATGGACCTATAGTAATGGGGCATTTACATGAGGATGAGTACTTTTGTAAATGGCCAGTACCGGTGCATCCCTGGTCATCACCAATTCAGAGATGATTGGAGGATCTACAGCCGAGTGATACACAAATAAGATACATTTTTCTTATTGGGGTACTTGAGTCCATTTCAAGATTTAACTTCCTGAGCTTAGTGTCACTTTAAGGCCCCATTCACACTGAGCGATT